TGTGTAGCTTTGGAACCTATCCTGGCACTAGCTCTGGAGACCAGGCTGGCCTTGAACTCACAGAGGTCTGCCTGCCTCTGTCTCCCGAGTCCTGGGATTAAAGGTGTGTGCCACCAATGCCCGGCCTGATGGGATTCTTAATAATACTGTAGATTTTGCAAACCAGATGGTTTAGTGCCATGCTAGCAATGAAAGCCTAGCATTAGCATCGGGGAATACTATCTCATGCTTCATAGTTTGTGGCCTTTATGATCAATTTTAGGGTATATTCCTGAACTAGAGTCTGTAAAACTCAGTTAGATCACTGTGCTCTTGTTTTTGTTTCCTTATGAAGCATGGGGAATCCACATACCCACATGGGATGAAGATTGTTTACAGTGAACTGTGGTGAGATGATGATGTGACATCATTTCTGTTTCTAAACACTTCAGAAAACCAAGTGGCCCTGTTCTTATGTAAGATTCCATGTGTATTTATTTGATCCTTCTACTGCTAGTCTCCAAGGAACTGGAATTAATATGTAAATTAGAAATTGTTTGTGATCTCCCAACTTCCAACCTAGCAAAGAAAGAGAAAAATGTTCGCCTCAAGGTGTTACTTGTGAAGTGTATGCTACCTCATTTTCCTGGCTGGGCTCTTCTCTGGAGATGGCACTTTGCAGCCGATAGGTAAAGATTCTTACTCAGGCTCATCAATTTATGATCATCCTACAGCATGCACTCATTTATCAAAAACATAGGAACATGGGGGCTCATGACAACCTCATTTGGTTTATCCGAGGTTAGGATTTAAAAAAAAAAAGATGATGAAGAAGAAAGCAGTCTGCATATATTTGTGCAAAGGTCCAGGACTCTTTTGGAAAGTATATTATTCCTGGACTGCAGTGCCTGCCCCTGGCAAAGTTAATGGTGTCAATTTGTAAAGGTTCACTTGGGAAATGTTTGTGATTAATGCTTGCTCATTTACATAAGGCTTCATTGTGTAAATAAAGCTGTAGCCTTTCGCTTTCCAACAGTGGAGTTCTATTGAGATGGTAAAAGCTGGACAAAGCAGGCTGCAGAACGCTTAAACTAGGTCGCTATGAGTTTTACTGCACAAGGTCTACCCTGGTATGCTTTATGTGTGATATAGGGAACCGTGGAGAGCAGTCTGTTTACTGTGCAAATTTGCCTTCCAGATCTTTCAATAAACATATTTTCTACACTGAAGAGTGAAGCCAATTGAGTCTCGGGCTGATTTAGAAATGTTATTAAAGGAAATAAGGATGAGCATCTTCTTAATTCTTGCATTAAAATGTAAATAGGGTAATTATAAAATAATAAACTCTCTCCCCAATAAAAAATGCTCAGTTAGAGAGCTCGGTTATGCAGATTACGGCGCCATTACTAAAGGCGGGGAACACATATATATCACATTTCTGAATCTGCCATCCAGATTTTGTGGCTTTATTGCCCAGAATCTAAGCAGGGCCCAGAAATCTCATTTCTTTCTTTATTCTCCACAGGGCTACTGAGGAGAGACAGGAAGCTGGTGGCCATCTGCTAACATGTATGCAGATTCCTTGTGCACAGTAGTCACACTCAGAAAAGAAATGGATGATGGTGGGTACAGATCAAAGGTGTGAGAAATTCTGACTTGTATAGAGAAAAATTCTCACGCCTCCCCTCAAAGCAGCCATGGGACAGATTTGTTTTTGATTTTGGTTTTTCTATTTTGGTTTTTCAAACAGGGTCTGATGTCGTCCAAGCCTCACACTTGCTCTGTAGGCAAGGCTGGCCACTAATCCCTGACTCTCCTGCTTCTACCCTCTATGTTCTGGGATCGCAGGGTGTACCACCACACCTGGCTTCCATGGCACAACAGAAAGCATAATTCTGAGGTCTTAGCTGTCCTATCTGTATGGCAGATGTGTTTGTATCCTGTTCTCCTGATGGTAATACCATGGAGATTATTTTTAAGCATTGAGCTGGAATGGTCCATTTTCCCATCATAAAAGAAAAAAACTAAGGTCAACAGTGTTGGTGTAATTTTCCACGTTCAGAACAGAACTTAAATCCAAATCCACGTTCAAGAACTTTTTTTTTGAGACAGGGTCTATTTAGCTTGTTTGTCCTGAAACTCACGGTGTAGACCAGGCTGGCCTGTTTAAACTCACTGTGTAGACCTCAGAGAGCTGCCTGCCTCTACTGCTTCCTCTTGAGTGTGGGATTAAAGGTGTGTGTTACCATGTCTGGCCCTCACAGACTCCGAATGCAGTGTTGCACATGAAATCAAGACGAGTGGAAGATCTGCAATGTACTCTGGTTTCCCTGGGTAAGAACAGACCCCACACAGGCACATATCACTTGCTGGTAAAAGCTACAGCTTTGGAATGTCCTCCCATCGTGGTGGGGGTGGGGGGAGTCAATTAATCCTTAGACAAAAGTCAAATTACAGGAAATAGTATTATAGGCATACCTGCATATTTAGAGGCAAGACACCTAGATTTATGTCCTAGCTGTGTTGTGTAATGACTATGAAAATATATGCAATACTCCTAAGTGGGAAACAGCCAAATGGTCGCTTACAAGGCCCTGAACAAACAACCATGGGACATACACACACAACAGCTAATGGATTCTACTAGGTAAACAGACTATGGGGCCTGCACACAGAGACTGGTGGTGCAGGTTTCTACTGCTTTCACAGGAAACTATCATAAGCTAAAAGCCACACAGATTTATTATTACATCAGAAATGGGATGTGAATCTCTCTGGGCTAAAACAAAGGTATTGGTAAAACTGACTTTTAAACCTATGCACACTCCTTGGCTTTTTGGCACATTCTTTTATCTTCAAATCCATCAATAGGTGATCAATGAATCATACTGTTCCTTCTGCCTTCCTCTTCCCTTTGTAAGGAGCCTTGCACACTGGGCACATGAGACAGTGATGGATATTCTTTCTATTTTAGAGTCAAGTGATGACCACACCACCTTCAATGCCATCTGCTAACTTACTCCCCCTTTGTGATGTAAGGTAACATACTATGAGGATCTAGGGTCCTAGGACATAAGCATCTTTGTCTAGCACATATCTAAATAAAAAGGTCAAGGAGTGCTTTCCACTGACAGGATGGCTCCTCAGTGAACACTCTTATGGGTGAAACTTAAGGCAGGAGGTGGGAAGATGGCTTGATAGGTAAAGTGTCTGCCCTGCACACATGAGAACCTGAGCATCCATGCAAGAGCCAGGTGTGACAGCAATCTGCTGGGGACAGAGAATCAGATCTCTGCAGCTCACTGACCAGACAATCAAGCTGAAAAGATGAGCTCCAGGTTTAGTGAGAAACCCTGTCACAAGAAAACAAAGGGAGAGAAGTTGAGAAAACCACCTGACATCAACTTCTGATCTTCACACTCTTGGTCACACATGTGCATGCATAGCTGCACACATACATGTATACACACGCATGAACATGGTACATGTTTGGTTCATGAACACCAAACAAACAGAGGCCAAGAAAAGTTTGTTACTCTATATGTAAGAAAAAGAAAAACATACTCATATTTAGGTACAACTCCATAAATAAACTTTGGAAGGTTACATAAAAAGTACTAAGTGTTGATAAAAATGATGAATGACAAGTAGGGCTTGAGACTAAATAATTCTAAAGATTTATTTATCTCTATGTATATTGAGTGTTTTGCCTGCACAGATGCAAGTGCACTAGTGTGTGCTGTACTCATGGAGACCAGAAGAAGGCGCCAGTTCCCCGGAACTGGAGTTAGGGATGGTGCTGGGCATGGACCCCAAAGCCTCTTGCAAAAGTAGCTAGTACTTCTCCCTACTGAGTCATCTCTCCAGTTCCAAGATGGAGTGACTTTTCAATGTACCTTGATAACTGTAGGCTTTGCAATCAGGAAAAATGAATCTTCAAAATTTGTACCTCTGGGGATTTTTCCTTCTTTCCTATGTGTATTCTAAGAAGTGGGTGATTTAAAAGAAAAGTTTTGGAGAATTTTGATATTCATTCTGCTGTCTTTACATTTGAGGAGAATTGATACCTCAATAATACTGAGGTGTCAAATGAATTAACATCATATATTTGCTTGTTTATTTAGGTGCATTTAAAGTCTTCTTGTGGAATTTTATACTCTACCAGACATTCACTAGACTTTGGTTGCAATCACATTAAATATAATCATTCAGATTATGATCAACTTCTTCTCCAGTGAGTGCAGTTTCCTTGTGCTTACCCTGTAGAATTGTGAAAATGTCACATCATGGTATATATGAAGAAGGATGTCTGTTATTTTTGTATTTCTAAAAACACATTAAATCTGTTGTGTGCTCTTTGCAAAATGGCTTTTTGAGTCCAGAAACTTGGGAAATCCCCGCATTCAAGATACAGTCTTCAGATCCCATCTGCACTGGAAACTGGTTTTATCTGGTAGTTAAATATTACCAGATTTCTACTGATACTTATTTTTTATACATTTAAAAATCTACTTAGATTTTACACTTTCCTTGACATCTCTTTTTAGCAGAATGTCTATGCTGGCTAGTTATAATTTTTTTCCCTATATTTATATGAAATGGAAACATAACCTGTATAATACACTGGTCTTTGGGTTATTTTTAGTAAGACTGGACACATGCATGAAATGTGATAGTTCTTGTCAAAAAATAACAGTGATCTTCTTTGGCATTCACTCAAAATTTTTTCATATTTTCTAATTTTCAAGTATTTTTGAGAAGCAAATAGGATCAGTGGGATCAAGTTGTAAAAAGAGAGAGCATTTAAAATTTTTTGATCAGCCACTTGTCCTACTGTCCGAATTTGAAGCAACGAATCTAAGTCGCTTGGGAACTGGACACACTGGAGCCAGTGGACCATCAGGAGGGGCCAGTGCTGAACCGACACAGAGCAGGCAAATACGAAGAGATAGACATATTCAGGCCAGTCAGCATTGGCACAATCAGCACACTTCAGAGAGCAGTAAAACAGTGATACTCACATCCGAGTTAAAGCGAAGCTGACAGACATTACAAGAAATAACTTGCTTCTTCTTTGGGGGAATGGAGACTCCAAACGTGTGGTTAATGACAGCTTTCTGCACAGGGTCCATCTGAAGAGCAAAGGATTAAACACAAAAAGTCAAAATTACTTTCAATGGAAAGACAGCACTGAAGGTTTTAACTCTTAGTTCCCAAACGAGGCTATCAGAGAATCTCACACATCTGTAATGTTCTTGTCTCCGGGAATTAAGAGTAAAAACAAAAGCAAAACAAACCTGTTTGAAGTTATAATACACAAAGGACCACAAGAGAATCACCACATCCCTAGCAACCTCCTACCGACGAAAGGAGGCATGGGATATTTTAAAGAGTCAGACTTCAAGAAAACCAAAGAGCCACGTGTTAGGGTTAAAATTAAGTTGTTAATGTTTTACTTGTAGGAAGCGATAATGCCCATCGTGGTCTCGGATGATCTCAGTGACAGTCATTACAGATATATTTAACTTCTTAAGTTTTGATTTATGGCAAAGTTGTAAATGTCAGGCTCTTATTACAGAACAGGAAAGTGTGCATCTTTATTTCAAAATAATTTATTAGCTTTCATGTCCTATGGATTGAAATTCGCTGTACTGGAAAGTATATTACCAAACACTCAGATGCATGTAAGAGATTGGCCAATATGCAATCCTTGTTTAAATATTGACCAAGCACGGTTTTGATTTATAGCCTGTGATTCGTTTTGGCTTCCATATAAAATATACAAATGTGGGAAAATATACAGTAATGAAAGTATTCGGCCACAGGAAAATGCACGATGGAGAACCATCACACTTAGGAAAAGAAACAATTCCATCGGCAGAGCAGGTAAAAAAAGCAGACCATGATGATTCTCTCATGTACCCCAGAAACTAATCCCCAGCACTAACATCAGACGACCGGCAGCTCAGAAAACAATGCCGATGATGAGTGGTGAATTACTCATCAACAGGTGTGACATGAACAAGGACAGGTCAACTGACACCATCGACTAGGAAATCTCCCGAGCTCAGAGTTTAGCATTGGATTAGTGGGTAACATTTGAGAGAGAAGAAATAAATACCATCCCTGATCTTGATTATAAATCAAGCAAGTATAAAATTAGCAATTTAGGAGAACTTACATGTGGCAAAAAAGAGGCAGAGTTATTGTTATATATGTCATATACAACAGCAATAGAAGAAGACACACACACACACACACACACACACACACACACACACACACATATATATATATATATATATATATAACATATTATAGAGGAGGAGATAGTGAATCTGAGAAAGGGATGGGAAATACTAGAGAAGTTGGTGGGGGGAGAGGATAAACCAGGCAAATACAGTGTACTCACATATGAAATTCTCCAAAAATAAAAATTTGAAGTTACTAGAATTAGCCTCCTTTTTGCGGTAAGTTTAAGAGTTGGGAGAGGTGACAGTAAAGGGACCTTCACTCTAAAAACAAGGGTGATGGTTTGAATGTTCGGATTCTGGATGGCAAATAGGGTCTTACATCCCAACCCAGAGCCTCATGAATGCTAGGCAAGTGTTACCACTGTCCTACCTTGACAGCATGAGAATTAGACAAAAAAGAATCAAGCTAAACAAACAAAACAAAGAAACAAACAAACAATATCAGTAAGAAAAGAAAATCCCCAAAAGTCAAGGAAGAAAACATTAGGTCTTTATTTTATTTGTAGATGTGTATATCTAAATACTTTCTGATGGCTCCTAGGCAAATATTAGCATATCAATTTGTGTTAGGCTTAAAAATAAAATAGAAAAACTCAATTGGACAGTATTGAAATCCCCAAATTTTCAAAGTTGACAAAGAGTCTTTTATCAAGAGGTTTTATTCTCAGACTGTGTAAAATATTTCCCATCTAGTAATGTGTGAAATACAAAGGTAAAATTGCATTGATATCTACCAAACACTAGTTTGTACATGCTACTTTGCTCATATTTGCTTCATGTCTGAACTAGTACTTCTTTATATTAAGCATATATCAAAACATAAATAATAATATTCATTGAACCATTATTAGAATGTGCAGTTTTCCTATCACTCATTAAAAATATATTGAAAATTAATCTTTAAAATAAAAACTTCCATTGCTTAAAATAAATGCATGACTCCTGTCTTTAACCTATGACATGGCACAGAAGCACACACAAAATATGAACCTAAAATATTCTAGTTTAAACTTTTTATTAAACCAAGATAATTAGGGGTAGATCCAATACAATCCCTGAACAGAAATGTTCCCCCTAGATTCTTTTTCAAAGAATTCCTAATATAACTATATCCTGCTCAAATCTGATATCTGTACCACACTGGACTGAAAACACTGCTTCCTATTCTCCATCCCTAAGGTCAAGTCATTGCTGAACACCCCAAATATAGAAGCAGACAAGTTCCCAGCCACCTGCTTCCCAAAGCATGCTAAGAAGGTCCCTACAAGACACTGGCACCAGATTTGGTTCCTGTAGTATGTAAGATGATAGATTTCCTCTCAAAGTAAATTCAGGTGGGAGAGCAGTTTTTTGTTTGTTTTTTGTTTTCTTGTTTTTTTCTTTTTTTGTTTTATTGAGACAGAGATTCTCTGTATTGCTTTGGAGCCTACTCACCCTGTAGAGCAGGGTTGCCTCAAACTCACAAAGATCCTCCTGCCTCTGCCTCCCAAGTGCTGGGATTAAAGACAGGCACCACCAATGCCCAGTTGGGACAGCAGTTTTAATGGCTTCCTTGTTTCCTGACTTGCTGTCTTCATATGAATGACTTCCAACTAGCCATATCAAAATCTTACCTCTGATGCTTCTCACTTAAAAGGATACTTTATTGTGTAGCTTAGTCTTCTTGTGGGGCTTCCAACAATGGGAATGAGAGGCTGTCTTTGACTCTTTTGCTGGTTTTTGAGACCTTATCCCTCATATTGGGTTGCCTTGCCCAGCCTTAATACAAGGGGAGGTGCCTAGTATCACTGCAACTTGACATGACATGTTTTGTTGATATCACAGGAAGCCTGCCCTTTTCTGAATAGAAATCCAGGAGGAGTGAACTGGGGGTACAGAGGGGAGGTGGAGGGGAGAGACTGGGAGGAGGGGAGGGAAGGGAAACTGGTTGGGATGTGAAATAAATTAATTAATTGAAAAAAGAATGAAGGGTTAGCTAATAAACTCACCAGCTACAGGAATGCATCTAACAGAAAGATAACACTTATTACTGTATTTGTTATTGTTGTATCAGTCATTTACTATAATGTGTAAAGCATGAGAGAACTAGAAAAGGAAGGGTTTTCAAGTAACAAAACAAAGAGCATTAGGAAAAAGCACTCTGTTTTCTGCTGAAAATGGTCGATTTCCTTACATGGGTTTTCAGAAATTACCCATGTTTTCCTCTTGTCTAAATCCCTTTATCTTTCCCATAGATGTTTATTTTGACGGCAAATCCCGAGTGCCAGTGTGGATTGGGACAAGAACAGCTCTGGGTGTATCTGTGAGGCCATTTCCAGAGAGGAACAGCCAAGTGGGGATGGAGAGGGCAGAGGGGGCTGGGACTGACCCATCCTAACACAAGTGGCCCTACCAGATAGCCTGGGGGACTAGGGTGGAGCCAGAGGGCAAGAAGCACAAGCCTCTACTGTCTCCTCTGCCAGTCAGGATGGCAGCAGCTCAGGTCACCACACTATCCCTGCCATAAGAGACTGGAACCCAAAGAAATCTCTCCTCCTTTGGCTTGACTATAAAATGTCCCACTCGGGCTCAGTGTTCCATCTTTCACTGGTGGTGTTAGGGAGACAGATAGTGGGACCTGGGAGAGGTCAGGCCTCCCTGGAGGAAGCAGACCACGGGCAATGCTGCTGAAGGGTATACCTGGCCCCCAGTCCCTCCCTCACACCCTGCTCTTCTCTGCCATAAGATGAGTAGCCTCTGCCAGCTACACCATTCCAACACCACAATGTTCTGCCGCATGGCAGGCCCAGGATAAACAGAGCTGTGGACGGTGGGCAAAAACTTTGGAGACTGTAATCTAGAATAAAGTCACTCTTTTTAGGTTTGGTTTCTTTTGTTTTTTGGTCACATGGGTGAAAACTAACTATATATGCAGCCCACCCCTTAGGTTGTTTTCTCGGGTATTTCTCTCAGCCACAGAAAGTCTAAAACAGATACAATTACATTTTTTATTCAAGGTTGGGCAGTGGTGGCACACGCCTTTAATCCCAGCACTCAGGAGAGGCAGGTGGATCTCTGTGAGTTTGAGGCCAGCCTAGTCTACAAAGCTACACAGAGAAACCCTGTCTTGAAAAAAAAAATCAAAAAACATTTTTTTTATTCCAATATTAACTAGAAGAAAATTGTGAAAGGGTACAGATGCTCCAGCTGCCAGCCTCTCTGAATCCTTGAAACAAATGCTGGGTACTGACATCTGACCCTCAATGCCCAAGCCATATGGGTGAGATTTAGATTTGTAGCATCATAAAAAGGGTTTTCAGACTTTTCACAAGTAGACAGGGGCACTGTTATGAAGTTTTGTTTTATGTCTTTCTTCGATGTTCTAAAAATTGGATGAATTACTATTACTATTAACTGTCTCTTTTAAATTTTTTTTTGTAGTGGATGGGCATTCTCTGTAGTCATGATGAGATCTGCTGAGTAAGTCAATGGTTGTGGTGAAGCTGGGTTGAATTTGACCATCACCACATTGAATCAGAGCAGCTGAGACCCCCACTAGGGGGATGGAGAGCCTATGAGGCTCGTGGGACTAATGGGTTCAAGAGGCTTCATGCTATCCTTATAAGGTCTCTCCCTCCCATGAGGATACACAGGAGTCAGCAATGGGCTGGGGGGCAACTTTGGTCATGAAGTTGCTTGCAAATTGCCCAGGGGGCTCCTCAGTAGTGCAGTTTATGAGTTGTGCATACTGTGGAAAGGACTCCTAGTGGCAGAGATACCTGTATGTTGCCTATAAGGCTTTCTGGCTACCTTTGGGTTGTACACACTCCTGTAAATAACCCCAATAAGTTCACTGACAGAACTGGGACAATAGACTTTGACAGAATTCATCCCCCAGC